TCTAAGTGATGTTCTACTCTACTGTTCCATATGAGTACATGAAATCAATTCAACTGGGACGAAACCAGGAAATAAACATACTTAAGTAAGGAGTAAATAAGGAATGATAGTGTGATGCAGTTTCTAAAAGTAGTGCTATCAAAAGAAGGAGCAGGGATAAATGGAGAACTTTGTGGTGTGTTCCACTTAGCAGGTGGAAACTTAAAGACCTTGCTCATATTCATGGAATGCCAATCATTAGAAGAAATTGTGCTTTAGTTCAAGAGATCCTATAAGTATTTACAATCCCCAGTAAAACTAACAAACTGGGTTATTATAGTTATATGTATAATAAAAGTATGGCTAAGGGGAAATAGAAAACACTTTTCATTTGGATACTTGATAGATTTTGCTGGTATAGAGGGCAACAGTGCCATAGTTCAGCATCAGGCTTTTCAAGCTAGTGGACAAAGTCCAAAAGGGAGCTGGACCCAAAATGAAAAAGAAAACAAAGTAGTTACATACGTATACACATGTATGTATACATATACACATACATACAAAAGGGAAGACCAAAAAAAAATGGAAGAAAATACTGGTGAGGCAATTAGTTGGTAGGAAAAAAAAAAAAGGCAAAGGGAAAGAAAGTTAGATATAAGTGCAGTATAAAAAAGAAGGAACAAATGAGAGAGGAAGTAGATTTGTTAGAGGTTCCACAGAGGAGAAAAAAGGGGGGGAATTATAAAAAAAAAAGTTACAAGAACAAGCCAGTTACTATCACCTTTGCCCTAACTGATCTTGCTGATAATTTTTGCTCTTCTCTAAAGTATCCTTTTCCATGTGGTAGCCAATGACCTTTTGGGGGAACAAATCTGATAACGCTACCTCCAGTTTCATCTCATACCATTCTCTTAACCAGCATCACACTGTCCTCCTTTTAGTTCCTTAAACATGTCATACTCTCTCTATTTTATTCCCTCTGCCTGGAAAACTCTGCCTTTCCACCTTTCCTTCTACTCACCTTTCAAGGTGTCCTAATTAGATCAAATTCTTGTTATTATAAATAATTCCTTTTGTTGTGCCCGAGAGTTGTAATTTTACATTTACAAGTGTGATTATTTGATCACTGACTCTCATCACCCATGGAGAAACCGTTTCTTTTCCCCCTTCATCACTGTGCCTCTCACACTACCTACAACACTGCAGTTGCTCAATAAATACCTGTTGAATGAATGAAGGAAAAGAAAAGAAAAACCTGCCAAGATATTATCACATGTAGAAAAGGGGTATAAGACAACCTTACATGTACAGAAGAGAAAGAAACAGAGAAAAGAAAGTTCAATGTAAGTTGTGGCGTAATTAAATTCATATAATTTCAGTGAGATACTACACTAAAAAAATTAAGTACAATAGTAGCCAGTAGGTCTGCTTTTCCCTAATGAAGTCAGAAAAGGAAATAGAATTAACATTTTACTTAGTTATAATAAAACACAATTTAGAACATGGATGACAAACAGGCATCTCAAACTTAATTTGACCAAAGCAGAGCTATAAACTTCTCATTCCTCTACCAGTCTACTCCATTTCAGTAAATGGAATTACCCCCCAACACCTCCAACCAAAACTCTAGGAGCCATCTATGATTACTCTCATACTCTGATCCTCAAAATACAATCCATCAAGAAGTCCTGTAAGCTCTACATCCAAACATACCTTCAGTCTATCCACTCTTCCCCAATCTCCACTGCTACCAATCTAATCCAAGCCCCTCTGATGGTTTTACTGAAGTACAGTTAACATACAATATTATATTAGTTTCAGGTGTACAACACACTGATTTAACAATTCTGTACACCACTCAATGTTCACCACTATAAGTGTAGTCACCATCTGTTACCATATAACATTACAGTATTACAGACTATATTGACTACTGACTATGCTGTACTTTTCACCTCCAAGATTATTTTATGATGGAAGTTTTTACCTCCTGTTACTTTTTATCTATCTATTCTAACCCCTCTATTTTAGAGTACTCCAATATTGTAATTCATGTCCCTGCTTTTACTATTCCTCTTCTCTAATTCACTGTACACAGAACAAAGTGATTTTTAAAAAGATAAATCATATGACACCCCTTGGCCCCAAACTCTTCAATGACTTCCCACTTCTTAGAATAAAATAAAAATTCATCACCTTGCATGATAGGTCTGCTGCCTCTCTTTCTTATCACTCTCTCCTTTGCTTGCTACATTTCAGCCATAATGACCTCCTTTTTGTTTCACAAATGGAACCATGTATCATCTCGAACTTTACAAGCATCATCCTCTCTGCCATACTCCGAAGTATCTCATAGTTAAGGTTTTACCTTAACTAAGGTATCACCTCCTCAGGAGGGCCTTTCCTGATTTTAATACCATGTAAAATGGCTTTTCCACTCCTTTATTGCTCTGTGTATTTCTTCCAGTCTTTATCATACAGCTATCATCTTGTTTATTTCATTAACAACAAATCGTTTCCAGTGCAAGTAATATGATGGTGAAAAGACAAAGTCATTGTTTTCACGGAGTTTATATTTTAGTAGGACTGAAAAACAAATTTATCAAATGATAAATGCTATTATAAAAAATAAAACAGTATAAGGGAATACCATGTGTTTGTACAGTGCCTCGCACAGAATAGGTGGCTATAAATACCTGATGAGTAAATGAAAACCTACTTCAGTTTTTCAATAAGTCTACGAGAGAGTAAGGAAGGTATACTCTATTGATGTTTAAAAATTAAATCCTAAGCCCTATGGGGAAATATTTTGAAAACACATAAATATGGTAGTATAAAACATATGACAACTTACAGTGAGTATTTTATTTTATTATTAAAAGTGTAAAGAAAAGAATTAAACACAAAAAATACTAGCATCAATTTATTTAGAAAGATTCCATATAATATATAAAAATCAGATATGAGAAACTGAAATCCTTACTTTCCCTTATGCTCATATTCTAACAAGTTACCATTTGTTTCTTTATGAGAATGCTAAAGGAGACATGGTGAAACTCAAATTTATTGTAACTGTACATTCCTAGACCCTTAGGTTAGTTTCAACTAAAAACAACAGTTTGAAATTCACAATCAGGGCGCCTGGGTGGCTCAGTTGGTTGAGCGACTGCCTTCGGCTCAGGTCATGATCCTGGAGTCCCTGGATCGAGTCCCGCATCGGGCTCCCTGCTCGGCGGGGAGCCTGCTTCTCCCTCTGACCCTCCCCCCTCTCATGTGCTCTCTCTCTCTCATTCTCTCTCTGTCTCAAATAAATAAATAAAATCTTTAAAAAAAAAAAAGAAATTCACAATCAGCCCTGTATTTGTTGGCTTTATTTATGCTCTTTCCATCCTCCCTATGTTCATCTAGTCAGAATTTAAACTAAATCAGAAGCCTTAGAAGTCCAAAACTTACTGCAGTACAAAAATACAATCATCTGCATACTGAATGTACTAAGTAAGCATCAGCAAGCCATCTTTGGAGGTTCCAATATCAAAATAAAAAATAACAGCACAGCACCACCTGTAACACAAGCTGCACCACTCTCAGTCTCTGATAGGTTATCTATTCTGGCCAAACAAGAATGGAAGTAGAACGGGGGTAATATGAAATGAACCCAGAAAAACTTAGAAACTTTCCACATCTTCTTACTAGGAATCTCATATAAATCTCTCATCACCTTTAAGTTTTTTTTTTTCTTTTTTTTGCTTTGCTATACTCAAGGAAGAATTAAGAAAATTGAGCTTTATTTCCCTATCCACCTCTGTTAGGCCCAATTCGTTCATTAGAGTAATACTGAGGCCCTACTGTGGTCCAGGCACTGCTCCAGGTGCTGTTAATAAAACCGTAAGCAAGGCAATACCTATCCCTCTACACCCTCTTATGGAATACCTGTACCACAGTTAAGATACACTTTCTTAATCCAGAAATGTTTCTAATTAATTATTTTTAAAAAGTATTGCTTATACTGTATATGAAAATCATCTTTGTGAAATTATCCAGAGTGGCTAATCCTTTTTAACAATCACTGCACAGTACACTCATTTTTCTAAACATATTTATAAACTCGATTTATATTTAATTCGGTGTAAACACTGAACCCATAGTCAAATTAAGCAATGTGAACAGTCAAGTTCCTGGTCCACAACCACAACGAATTTACCCGTATTTGGGGGGTCCTTATTTATAGGGGCAAAGAACCAACACTGTTACCCATTACCACCATTCCCTACAATAACATACAGCTTTTCTTACGACTTACTTAGTCCACCTCCAGCAAATGTTTAACTTTCCCTCACAAGTGAATAAAAATGGAACCACCCAAACTTTGTCTATTAGCTTTGGTGACCGTCCCCAAATTGACATTGTGAATCTCCTTCTCTACTTTCAGATAAATTATTTTATAAAATATCTTTAGCAAAACACATTTCGTAAGACCATCTGACATGGCCAGACCTAATCTGAAAACTGGTGGCAAAAGGAAGCCTGAAGCCCTGCGAAACAGAAAGAGCAGAGGGCGTATATAAAACATACCCAAGTAAAACTACTTCTCCCCTCCCTAGACTGCCCCCCAATTTCACCCGACCTTAGCAATCTGAAACTTTCCATGAACACCAAACAAAATCTGAATGCAATCTGCTCTCATCCTTAGGCCACCACCAAAATATTTTTAAATGTCAAAGACTTAACCCGTGCACTCTCAAAGGACACCCACCAACTCCAGCTCGCATCTGGATCCACCCGCGCCCTCTCGGCTATGTCTGCCCAGGCCAAGCCCCCCGCACCGGCGGACTCGAACCCAGCGCGCTCGCAACACATTCCCTCCCCGCCATCGCCCCAGCAGCCCTCGCCCCCCAGTGCCTCTGCCACCCCCACCCCCCCAAACCCACCCAATGCGAATAACTGAATATCCGGAGACCGGGGGGGCACACTTTCCTGATTTTTCCCCACCCCACCCCCTGCAAGGGCAGAAATAGATGTACCTTCCAGAAAAGTAATCTCCCCAGCGCTGCCGCCGCTCTTGCCAGCCGCCATCTTCCTCCTCCCACGCCGCCTCCTTCTTAATCCATGGCCCACACCACCGCCGCGCTCGCCGGGATGAGGGGCCGCGCCGCAGGAGGGTAGCCGCCGCAGGGTTGCGGGCCTAGAACTCGGCCGTCAGGGGGGCGGCGCTCCCACGTCCAGATGGGCCTACACAAAAGCAGGCCAGGCGCTCCCGGGCCTATCCGCGGGCTGGCGGGTGGCGAGGCCCGCGGCCTGGGCTTCTCCTCAGGCCCCTCCGGGGGAACGCGAGCGGCGACGACGGCGACGGCGCTTCCCGGGCCCGGTTCCTCTCGGCCCACGACTCCCCATCCACCGCCTACCCAGGCCGCCTGAGACGCTCTCCCCAGCCGCGGGCCCCAGGAAGAAAGGCTGAAGGCGAGCACACAAACACACCTCCCTTCGTCCCGGGCCGTAAAATGGCCGCAGCCGCCGCGCCGGGGCGGCGAGGTCTTCGCGACCGTCAGGCGCCCCCAGGCCCTTCGCTCCCTCTGCAGCCACCGCCGCCGCCGCTACGGCCGTCCGCCCACCCCGCCCAGGCGTGTATGCATCAGCGGAGGCCTCTGCGACTGTCCATGTGGACAGGGGTGGGTCTCCTCTGCCACCGCCTCGCGTCCGTCGCCACAGCAGCTCCAGCCGCCGCCGCCGCTGCCGCTCCTCCCCCACGGGCGCTGGAGCTACCGCCCGGCTCCCGCCCCCACCCCGACGCCGCCGCCCCCAGCGCCGCTCCCCCTCAGGAGCCCGGGCTCCGCTCGCGGGCAGAGCTGTCTGCAGCGCCGCACCGGACACCGGCTTGGGGCTCCCGCCGCCGTGGCTCTCGGTAGGGCTGGCCCGGCGCCGCGCGGACTCGGCCTGGACACGTTTCGCCCAAAATCTCGACCGCCGAGGGCCCCATGGCAGACTTGGTGTGTGAGCGCTTCTAAGCCAGGCCGGTGATGAGTTTGGTTTCTGCGGCACCACAATTGCCTAAAAAATGTTAAAAGTTCCTTTCTTTGACCAGGCCTTAGAACTTAAACCATAGCCAACCGATGAGGGAAGCTACAGTGAAGTAGTGTAATCATATGTTTAGAAAATGATTTGTGGTCCTCATTCATTTTTAAAAAAGTTTTCAAAATAATTTATCAAGGAAGATTCCACAGTACATTTTGGATGACAATGTAAAAAAAAAAAAATGCTGTCATATGTGCCTAAGACTTTAAAAACCATTCCCTGCCTTACAAATCAGGCCTTATAATGAATGGCAGGTTATTATATCACGTTTGCTTTTCCCTTTACTTTGGCTTTTTTAAATTATAAAAAAATATGACATTCTTTAATGAAAAGCCGGAATACAGAAAAGGAAAGAAGTTATGCATAGTTCCACCACCAAAACTCAATTCCTTTAAGTGTGTTGTCCTCTAAGCGAACATTTTTCTTAAATCCCTCACTATCCCTCTTTAAAAAACGAAAATCTCTGCTATGTGTCAGTGAAAATTCAACAGCTGTTAAGACGATGCAGAAAAACTGATTCTGTGCAATCTTGAGGAATGAACTGTTCTAATTAGTTTAATTGTCCTGTTAGCCAAGGCATAAGCAGAAAATCTTTTCCTTTAAAACTTCTTTAAAATCGTATCCTAAAATGAGTAATCTTTCCTGAGTTAGTAAAAGTAATATAATGAATATAATTTATTATACTCTGTTATTTTTGTTGTTTGAGTATATTGAATGATCTAGTTGTGATGCTCTATGACATAGAGTCTCTGCCAGTGACAGTATAATACTGAGGCGTGTAGATAATAGGCAGATGTGGGTGACTGGACTCATTTGTACAGACTCCAAAATGCAGTTTAAAAGATAATCTCTGATTTAAAAATACATGCATAGTGGCTTTGAAAATGGGAAAAGGTGCCAGAAGTCAAGAACTGTGGGTGGCCTCTGGAAGCCAGCTTCCAAAAAAGGCAAGGAAACTGATTCTCCCTTAGAGCTTCCAGAAAGCAAAGTGAGCACCTTGACTTTAGCTTATGGAGACATGTTGGACCTCTGACCTTGTAGAACTGTAAGATAATACATTTTTATTAAGTTGCTAAGTTAGTGCTACTTTATTACAGCAGCCATAGAAAACTAATGTACATATGGAATGGGAAACAAGGTGGAGTTTTATAAAAGATGTCTTTTAACCAATCTGATTTAGGATCTTTAAGACAAAGTCCATTGTTGTATTTTTTGTGTGTGTGAATTTCAGCTAATTTCTATGGGAACACATAATTCCAACTTTAAAAGTGTGGCATCAAAATCACTTGGAAAGGATTGTTAAAACAGGTTGCTCTACCCCACCCCTAGAGTTTCTGATTCAGTTGGTCTGGAGTGTGTCTGAAAATTTGCATTTTTAATAAGTTCCCATGTGATGCAAGATGCTGCTGATTAGGGGACCACATTATGAAAACCACTAGATTAAACAATCTCTACATTCCTTTCCGTTCAGTTTAATTTAGTCTATGAGTCTGCAATTACATGTGAAATGATCAGTGTCCATATTCAAGTATAAGATTAAAGATATTTTCAGGAATCACCTCTTCCATATATATGAACCTTATCAATTAAGAATTGATAGATATCAAAAAAAAAGAATTGATAGATATCATGTATCTCTTTATTTAGGTATTCAGGCCTAGAAAACTTCAGATTGAGGACATGTCCCTGAAATGTAGATATATTTACTATACATATAAATATATATTTAGTATACTTACAAACACTCAATTAGTAGCCCTTCTTTATACATACATTTTGAATGACACCCAGGGATGTTGCTGAGAATGCTTTAGAATATTAGAAATACGACTAATTACAAAATCAATTCTCTGAGTTACATGGTCAATTTTTATTAAAAGTCTAGCATGTCTTTATTGCTTAAATTTAGCAAATTTTATTGAGATGTAAGCTAACTTGTTAGTTGTCATATTAAAAAACAATTTAATTCTGGCATAAAAGATAAAAAGATAAAATGGAGAAAAGTTAGACTATTTTAAGCTTGAATGCATGGGTAATTACAATGGATATAATAAGCTACTTTATTTTTTGTAATTATTCCATTAAAGAAAATTTAGAAAAAAGGAAAAACAAAACAAAGCAGGGTCCTGCCACCTACAATTCTAATTCTAATGCCCTATCTTCTCCAATGTCTTTTTACTCACTTAGTCTGGTCACCCACTACCAAGTTTAAACCCTGGACCTACTCTTCCAAACTCAGTAATGCAAACATCCCATCTCCAATCACAATGGTCAATGGCGATGACCAAAGGACCAACATCAGCAAGTCTACACAATCATCCTGTGCAAACAGAATTCAGAGGAAAACAAAATTAAGACAACTACAGGATCTTTTGGAAGGATACAAGAGCATGAGACCCTCCCCAAAGCTATTCCTCTGCTGGGGTTCTTGCTCAGTACAAAGTGTTGCCATCCACCAGTTTCACAATCTAGAAACCTAGGAATCACTCTTGACTTGCTTTTTAAATTAAATCTACGTCCTTGAATAGGTCTTGAATCTATTCACATTTTTTCCAATTCCAATGAGCCCACCCTAGTCTTAGCCACAATCACCTCTCAGCCATACTACTGTAATAACAGCTTCAAACAGGCCATTCCATGTTCTGTACCCATCCTCTAATCCATTTCTCACACAAAAGCTACAATGATCCTTTAAAAAAAAAAAAAAATCACATCAAAGCACCTTCCTGTTTAAACCATTCAAACAAAGGTTTCCTGTTGCTCTTAGGATAAAATCCTAAATCCTTACTTGATCTACTGGGCCCTCCCTAACTACTTCATGAGCCTCATCTTAATAGCATTTTCACCCTCTCAGTTAAGCTCCAACCATTTTGTATTTCTTTCGGTTGCACAAATGCTTCATCTTCTTTTCTACTTTAGAGCCTTTGAACATGTTTTATCCTCCATCCTCAATGCACTTTTTGTCTAAATAGAGTCTTGCACCAATAGGTTAATACATATCTCCTGAATGAATGAGCAAATGAAAACAACATAGTTAAAATAATCTTTGCTAAGGAAAATTCAGAATCATAGAATTCTAGAACCTGGATTCCTTAGACACCATCTAATTCAATCTTCTCAGAAGTCCAGAAAACGTCTTTGCCCTAAATAACATTGTGGTAGAAATCTATGATAAATACCCTAAAAAGGATTAGCAATCCAGATGTGAACCTAGGGCCTGGCTTTGAAGATTACAATATTGAAACAACTTTTAAGGAGGCCAGGAACTGACAGAAGGAGGACTTGTAATGGATACATAATAGCAAAGCTTTCTCTCTGTATATGGCTACAAATTCTTCTTTTGTATCAGGGCTGGCGGTTTCCTCTATTTTAGTCAGATTTAAAATGTTGCATATAAAACTGGTTGATCCTTGACCAACTTGGGTTTGAATTGCATGGATCCACTTATAATAATGTGAAATTTTTTCAATACAGTTACAGTATTATAAGTGTATTTTCTCTTTCATATGATTTTTTATGATTTTTAAATTACATTTCCTTTTGTCTAACTTATTTTATTGTAAGAATACAGTATATAATACATATAACATACAAAATATGTGTTAATTTACTATGTTATCAGCAAGGCTTCAGGCAACAGTAGGCTGTTAGTAGTTAAGTTTTTGGGGAATCAAAAGTTATATGCAGATTTTCCATTGCATGGGGGCATGGGTGCCCCTAGCCCCTCCCTGCCTTGTTCAAGGGTCAACCGTACTTGAATAAATTGATTCATATTTTATGCTGGTAGAGCTTAATAGTTATTAATAAAACAGTAGCCCAGTTTAAATACATATATTTCTTTGAAAACACAATACTCAATCTTGTTCTTTTAAGCACTAAAAAGCACAGTACATAGTCCATGACTAAATACAAATTTCAGAAGACAATAGCAGGCTCTGCAAATTCTGTCTGGTTGATGGTTTTTGAAGAGCTAAGTGTATTTGTGTCAGATAAAATGAACAGTGAGTCATATGAGAATAATGTATATACATTTCTAAGTATGTTTTAAGTTTCTGTGTTAACATAATTTCTACATTATAATATTCTACTTCACTTTCAACTTATCTTATTTTTGCTCTTGTTTAATCCTACCATGCTTCATATGAAGCTCCTTTATTGTTTCCAGTTCTTCTTTTAGTCCATGCTTTCTGTCCCTATTCCATGTGGCAGATTTTTTCCTAGAACTTCAACAGTTAGTTTATTAGCTAAAATTTTAAAGTTTAAATTTTTAAACTTTTGATTAAGTGAAGCTCAAACTAATATTTTTAAAATTGTCAGTGAATATATTCTCAGAATAACAAAGATTTCTTGTAATAGTTCCTAGCAGGTATCTTCAGTATCAACATTAATAAATGAACAGTGAAGCTTTCAGGTGACAGGTTGAATTATTACTTTCCTGGATCCTAGGCACTTTTGCTTTCTTGGGTCCCTTCTTCCACAAGAAATACATTAAAGATTTTTTTTTAAGGTTTTATTTATTTGTCAGAGAGAGGGAGAGAGAGAGAGAGCATACACAAGCTGGGGGAACAGCAGGCAGAGGGAGAAGCGGGCTCCCCGCTGAGCAAGGAGCCTGATGCGGGACTTGATCCCAGGACCCTGGCATCC